AGCCTCTCCATGCCGTCTGTGAGGTCTGGGCCCTGGGCAGATGTCTCTCACCATATGCTGGGGGTGATTTAACAAGGCCAAATGGGCAGCCTGGCCAGAGGCTCTCTGGGGCGCTGGGTTCTGCCTAGAAAAGCGCACTGCAGCCGCCTGCCCGGCTGGCCCAGCCTGGCCACTCCTTCCTGGAGAAGAGACAGCAGCCGTGATTGCAGATGCCAAGCAGCGGAAGATATTTTTAAAGCTGCAGCATCTGGCTCCTTGGCAGCCTTCACCCGCTGGTGGGCTGGGTGTTTTAGAGTCGCCTCTGGGCACTTCACATGGCTTGGCATCTGATTATTGTCTAGGCCGCCTTTGAGAACTGAGCTGAGGCTGTGGGGTGGGAGATCCTTGACACCCCCACTGTTGGTTGTGACCTGGGACTCCCTCTCGGTGACATCAGCGTGTTTCTGCATCTTTTGTATTTTTTAACTTCCCTCTTTAAAAAAAAAAAAGTGATAAAAGAAAGATCATTTCCCCTCTGCCAGAGTGGTTTTGAATAGCTTGCAGCTGCCCACCGGTGCCCACCCTGGCCGCTCTCTCTGACTGGCTTAGAACAGGCTTTCTTGGCATTAAAACCTCCCTCAGGCTGCGTTGTTCCTCTAATGTCTCCCTGGAGAGGGAAGGGTTTACCTTTTCTTTCCTTCTTCCTTTTTTTCTCTTAATCCTGTTTTTTCAAGAGATTCCAAGGCTTCCTGCAGACATCCAAACACACACACACACACACACACACACACACACACACAAAGAAAGAAGGACACTGAATTCCCTGGCAAGTTGTATTAAGATTTTTCTTTTTTCTTAGAATGGTACCATTTCAGGGACTGCCAGCTCCCTAGCCTGTAAACTCCGGCTTGAGGATTTGGCCCTGTTTCAGAACACGAGTTTGAAGACGACTTCCAATGACTTCCAGTGACTAGTTCAGACCTGGTGACAAGAAAATTATCTCTGTCAAGTCCTGGGCTCCCGTGTCACTGGGCTGGGAAGGCAGCAGCCTGCCTCTCACCCATGGCTTGGCAGGTGCACAGAACGTGGTCTTTTCTCCAGCCAACCGGCTGGGCAGCAGCTACCGGAGAATGCCAGTGGCCAGGGTGACGCCTGGGGCCCAGCTGGGCTGGCCAGAACACAGTGTTTTTAGGAAACTGGCATCACTAGGCATGGTTGTCTCCTTGCCTCGCTGAGCTACACAGATACAAACCTAGCTCATGACTACCCAGGCAGGCCCTGGGTCTAGAGCAGTCATGAACAGTCAGGGGTATCCTTTTCCACAAAGTTCGATACAGAGACAGCAGTACACCAACCACATCAGTTAGCAGGAAAGCACCAACACTCATCAGGGCAGATCCAAAGCACATATCTTACTCTAGGTGGATCCCATTGCAACCCTGGGCTGCAGAGACTTCTACTCTTTCCCTCCTACTGAGGACACTGAGAGGTACAAAAAATTAGCAAAGCCACCCAGCAAAAATGGTAGAAGAAGATGCAGACCCAGATGCTCTTCCTCCAGAAGCCAACTGGATCATAAAATAGATGAAGCTAAGTTTGTTTTAACTAAATATTGGAGCCCAAACAAACTGGTTTTTTTTCTCTTTGTGTCAGTCATATTTGGAATTAGAGAGGTATGAAAAGGAGTTAAAGTGGGCTGTAAAGACATTGACACTACAGACCCCTTCTCAGCATTTCACTATGGCTAGGAGAGCCAACCTTCTGTCTAGTGAGCTGGAAAGAGCAGCTGTATTTGAGCAGAAAGCCCACTCAGGACCAGGCATTTCAGAATATTGCGTAGCTGTGGAAAATCCCACTAAAATGGAGGCTGCTTGAATATTAGAGTTAATTTACTGTGCCTGCTGAGAACCTCCTCTATGCTGGGAATTCTTCTGATTACTAAGGAGCAATGGGGTTGAAGACAAAAAAAAAATCAGGTAAGGGGAGATACTTGGTTTTAAATGAGGTCCTTGGGTGAGCTGACTATACAATGTTGACCCTTGGTTAAGAGGCTGAGAGAGGTGAGTGACCAAACACGTGAGTCTGGAGGAGAGATGTGCTAAAGCATCCCTGGGTGCTCAAGAAGCACTCAGGAAGTGCGTGGGGGAAAGAAGTAAGACCAGGGAAATCTGTGAGCCCTGAGAAGCTGCAAACGGTCTTTGCATGAAGTCCCAGAGGACCCTTGTTAGATCTCCTGACTCAGAAAGCAGCAGGGTCTCTCACATTTCGTGTCCTTAGGAAAACCCCAGTCCCTTCAGTGCTTAAATTCTACATGTAAGTGTGCCACAGCCAACAAAGCCAAAAATGGGCACAACCAGCCATGTGATTCACGTGGGTCCCACCCTTCTTACCCACGTGGTAACAGTAGCAACTCTTGCCCAGAGATGTTGTAATGATGACCTTAAAGCCTGTGGAGATCTGGGCATAGACCAAAGCAGACTGGAAGGAGGAGGGCCTGTATCCTCTTCTTGGAAATAAAGGTGTATTCTAAGGCATGCATTCAGCAAATATTCTGTGAGCATCCTCTCTGTGAGTTCCTACAGTGACAATCAGATGCTTCAAAGTTTTAGACCTTACTGAAATGAATAGGAACACAGATATCCAAGGGACTCTATAAAGAGTTTAAGAATTCCTACTTGCCCTGCATCCCATCACTGAACAAAGATGACTTCCAAAACCACTTTTGGACCAGTTCTTACTTGGTATTTTCTTTCTTCCCAGCTTTCATTTTATTACTTGATTGTAATGATTCTGGTAAGTGACCCTGTACAGGCTATGGAATTCCAGAGCCTATTAAAAGAATGCAAAGTGTGATTTGATACTTATTGTGTATAATATAACAAGTATTATACACAAGGTATCCTCATATATTGGTTTTTAAGGTTTCCTGATCTTGAGCATCAACATCTACTTACAACTCTACTGGTAGACTAAATCTCATTGTATTGGCTCTAATAAGCTATACTCCTGCCCTTCCTAAAGGAAAATACATTCAAGTTTAACTTATCTACACATTTGATATCAAAGTAGAAGTTTTCTTTTTTTTTGGTAACTTTTTTTCATCCAAAAAAAATTTTTATTGATGTTTATTGAGCTCTACATTTTTCTTTGCTCTCCTCCCTTCCCCTTTTCAACCCTCCTGCCAAGGTCTCCATGCTCCCAATTTACTCAGAAGATCTTGTCTTTTTGTACTTTCTACTTCCCATGTAGATTAGATCTATGTAAGTTTCTCTTAGTGTCCTCATTGTTGTCTAAGTTCTCTGGGATTGTGGTTTGTAGGCTGGCTTTCTTTGCTTTATGTTTAAAAACCACCTATGAGTGAGTACATGTGATAATTGTCTCTCTGTGTCTAGGTTACCTTACTCAAAATAATGTTTTCTAGCTCCATCCATTTTCCTGCAAAACTCAAGATGTTATTTTTTTTCTGCTGTGTAGTACTCCATTGTGTAAATGTACCACATTGTCCTCATCCATTCTTTGGTCAAAGGGCATTTAGGTTGTTTCCAGGTTCTGGCTATGACAAACAAAGCTGCTATGAACATAGTTGAGCACATGTCCTTGTGACACAATTGAGCATCCTTTGGATATATACCCAAAGAATGGTATTGCTGGGTCTTGAGGAAGGTTGTTTCCTAATTTTCTGAGAAATCACCACACTGACATCCAAAGGGGTTGTACCAGCTTGCATTCCCACCAGCAATGCAGAAGTGTTCCCTTTTCCCCACAACCTCTCCAGCATAAGTTGTCATCAGTGTTTTTAACCTTGGCCATTCTTACAGGTATAAGATGGAATCTAAAGTTGTTTTTATTTGCATTTCTCTGATGACTAAGGATGTTGAACATTTCCTTAAGTGTCTTTTAGCCATTTTAGATTCTTCTATTGAGAGTTCTCTGTTTAAGTCTATACTCCATTTTTATTGGATTATATAATCTTTTGTTGTCTAATTTTTTGAGTTCTTTGTATATTTTGGAAATCAGACCTCTGTCTGATGTGGGTTAGTGAATATCTTTTCCCATTCTGTAGGCTGTTGTTTTGTCTTGTTGAGTGTGTCCTTTGCTTTACAGAAACTTTAAATTTTCAGGAGGTCATATTTATTAATTGTTTCTCTCAGTGTCTGTGCTACTGGGGTTATCCTGTGCCAATGTGTTCAAGTGTACTTCCCACTTTCTCTTCTATAAGGTTCAGTGTGGCTGGCTTTATGTTGAGGTCTTTGATCCATTTGGACTTGAGTTTTATGTATAGTGATAGATATGGGTCTATTTTCATTCTTCTACATGTTGATATCCAGTTATGCCAGCACCACTTGTTAAATATGCTTTCTTTTTTCCATTTGATATTTTTTGCTTCTTTGTAAAAGATCAGGTGTTCGAAGATGTGTGGATTGATATCCGGGTCTTCTATTCGGTTCCATTGGTCCTCCTGTCTATTTTTATGCCAATACCAGGCTGTTTTTGGTACTGTAGCTCTGTAGTAGAATTTGAAGCCAGGGATTGTGATGCCTCCAGAAGTTCTTTTATTATATAGGATTGTTTTGGCTGTCCTAGGGATTTTGCTTTTCCATATAAAGTTGAGTACCTTCTTTCGAGGTCTTTAAAGAATTTTGCTGGGATTTTGATAGGTATGTTGAACATTTCAAAACAGAAGTTTTCAAAGTACATTGAAAGGAACAAGAGTTACTTTGGAATTAGTCTCCGATAAGCATTTTATGGCTAAGTAAGTTAACTTGAAAATATAATAGAATTTTAATTTTCAGCATATCCTAAAATTATGAAACTGGTGAGAAAGACCTCTCAAAAAAGTTTGGGGTGTTCTGCTTCCTAGATGCCTATAAATCTGCTTGGGGGAGGTGGTTAACATCATTTCCTACCATCTGGATGAAAATCTAGGCAACCCTGTAAGTCTCTGGATGAAGCTCAGGCAATGATTAAACAGACTAATATCAATGGATACTTTTGCCTTCTGTGTTGGCTGCTGCAGGCAGGTAGCCTGCCTTTATACATTGGCCGTCCCTGGCTCTTGTGTATGTCTCTCTTCATCCATCTCCTCCATGTGCTGTGCTCACTTATCCTGGTTTATGACCCTCCACAGCTAGGAGTCAAAGGGGGAAAGCGGGCTGAGAATGTGTCTAGGGAAGTCCTTCTTCAATAGGTATGTCCATTAGACAGCTGTAAAGTCTTGGCGAATGTCTTAGCAGGTGTTGAGAGCTACTATGGTTGTTTTGTCTTCTGTTTGGTTGTTTGGTTGGTTTTTTGTCAGGTACATATATTAGAACCTCAGGTGGTCCCTGGACTACTTCTGATCCCCCTCAGCAATATCCACCGATGCCCACGACTGCTGGGGCCTTCTCCATGTCACAAGCTCCAAAGTAAAGAACCCTAAAGGAAGCAAAAAATAAATAAATAAATAAATAAATAAATAAATATAAAAATCTCAGATGGTGTAACTGAGAGGACATAATGAAGGAGTATCTACTGAGGAGTAGGTAGGATCTAGTGAGACCAAGAAGAGAAGTGAAGTGAACTGAAATGACAGAAAAGAGAATTATTGTCACCTCTGAGCCTAAAGGGCCAGGCAAAGGAAGTTTATAGGACATGTTTCTAAACAGAAATGAACCACCCTCCCCAAACCCTGCACACACACACACACACACACACACACACACACACACACACATAGTTCACCATTCTGTCAAGTCACAAGCTAGTAGGTTGCAGGCAACAGAGCCTTTCTCCTCACATCTGCTGGGCTCCCTTACAGCCTCTTATTGACCAAATCCTGTCATGGGGAAAAGAAAGCACTGTCTAGAAGGCGTATGGATCAGCCTCCTGGGAAAGACCAGAGAAAGAATGGGTGGAAAGGAGCTGCAGAGAGTTGACAGGATTCTCTTGACCCTGGCACATATTCCCTTTAAAAAATTTTAAAAATTTATTTGTTTTTATGTGTGTGAGTGTTTCACCTGTGTTTGTCTGTGGACCACACATGTGCAGTACCTGAGGCGGCCAGAAGAGGCTGTCAAACCCGCTGGTCTAGAGTTGGAAGTGGTTACACCAGTGCTCCTCAACCTTCGTCGTAATGCTGTGAATAGAGTCCCTCATGTTGCAGTGACCCACAGCCATAAAAATTATTTCCTTGCTACTTAATAACTGTAATTTTCGCTACTCTGATGAATTGTAATGTAAATATCTGATATGCAACCCCCAAAGAGGTCTCAACACTCAGGTTTAGAATCACTGGTGTATACCAACCATGTGGGTACTGGCAACAAAAATTTCCATCCTCTGGAAAATCAGCCAGTGATGTTAACCACTGAGCCATTCCACCACCTCACCACCACCACTACCACCATCATTACCATCACCACCATCACCACCACCACCCACCATTACCACCACACACACACATACACACAAACACACACACACACACACACACACACACACACACTTCACATACACTTAAGAAGCTCCCCCAGCTTCATGAAGTGGCCCTACCTGCCTCCTTAACTGCTTCATCTGATTTTTCTCTTTCTGAGTGTTCAAAAATCTCCTCATTGCTACAACCGGACCCTCATTCCCTCTACCTAGAATGTTCTTTCACCACTTGTTTTAGTTAAAGTTTCTATTGCTGTGAAGAGACACCATAACCATGGCAACTCTTATAAAGGAAAACATTTAATTGAGGTGACAGCTTACAGTTTCAGGGATGCATTATCAATCATGGTGGGACAAGGCAGCATGCAGGCAGACATGGTGCTGGAGAGGTAACTCAGAGTCCTACATCTTACAGACAAGAAGTGTTAGGTCTAAGTGTTACACTGAGTGAAAATTGAGCAAAAGAGACCTCAAAGCCTGCCCCCACAGTGATGTACTTCCTCCAACCAGGCCACACCTCCTAGTAGTGCCGCTCCCTTTGGGAACCATTTTCTTTCAAACCACCACACCACTCTTCACCTAGTAAGCAGGTAAAATATTCTCATGTCTTATAACTCATTCTGTGTATTGTTCCTTGGGGAAACCAGCTATTTAAAAAACAGTTGTACTTCTGCATAGTTAAAAACACAGAATACTTTTCATTCTAATAATTTCAGTTTTATTCTCTGGGCACATGTTCCTTGAGGGCAGGGGCTTTGCCTACTTCACCTACTCAGGCTTTTTGGATCTTCTACACAGCAGCAGCATGGGAAGAACTTAGGAGCCACCAACTACCCCTGTTTGGGCCTCAGTTTCCTCCCCCAGAAAACAAGCCACTAAATGATGGGGGGGGTATGAAAGGCCCCTTTGAGCGCTCACATTCCTGAAATGCAAATGCTAATCCCTCAGGTGAGAGACCCTCTTGACTTCTCTGTCAAGAAACTTATTCCAAGTTTATACATTAACCAGAGAATACAGTAGGGAGAGAGGGTTACAAAATCTCAGATTACTACAAGAGGGGGGAAAAAATGGTATTACAGGGACGTATACAGTTTCTCGAGGAAATGAGCAATCTCTTTTTTGATGGACTATGTGAAAGCTAAACTGGAAGGAATAATTCGATTAAATGGTGATGTAAACTGGAAAGGAAGCATTACTTCCTGAACTGCACCGAATGCCTTACAGGTGCCATGGGACCCACCACCTCAGTAATTAGAACGTTGTAACTGTCTCCACTGAACTATGTGCAAGTGATTAAAAATGGGAACAACACTGGGACTCCAGACACCAGATCATTCTGGTGAATTGAGCTTTGTTCTCCGTTATTTAGGGTAAAATGGAAAAACAGAACTCATGGCAAGGATATACAGTAATGGCTTCTTTTTTTGCCTCACACGACCCAGGACTGGAGAGCCTTTGGGGTCACAAAGGATGTGTGTGTGTGTGTGTGTGTGTGTGTGTGTGTGTGTGTCCCTCACCAATAGTTCTGCTTCCTTGAGCCCTGCAGTCTAGACAAGGAACGAAAACATCAGACTTCCAATAGCTAGTTCCCTGAAAGAAAAACCCCTGTGAAGGCAATCAGAAGTGTGCATTGCATTGATGGCAGATGTCAAAGAATGAGATCTTACTTGGCATTATCCAGGTGAAGTATGTGTCACAGATTGCCTGTACTGTGGGAAAGGCACACATAAGGCATAGGGGTAGGACGGGATTTGGAATAAAAACAAACAAGCAAACAAATACCAGGATGGCTGGAGTTTTATTAAAATGGGAAGGAGATTTCTAAGATGAGGCTAAGGAGTGGGGCTAGATGCTTGTTTTTGTAGATGTATCCCTATACAATTTCTATACTATTTATTCCTATAGAAATCTCGGCCCAAACTCCTATCGTTGAACAGGGTCCTTGCCCATGATCCTCTACTGCTGACTTACACTGGCTGGGATAGCCAATGATACTGGGCATCTTACTTTTGCCACTCTGCCCACATCACATATACAGCTTCATTGTTTCATGCCTCGGTTTCCCTCCACCAAGAAAATGATTGATTTGGACAAAATCAGCCCTGAGATATCATCCAACACAAAACCCTTAGATTCTAAGTTTTGATTTCTTGCCAACTTCCTTGGGTGACATTCGCATTGGGACTGTCACTAACAAAGAGAAGGGCTGAGCATCTGCTCTGCCTCATTCCTGCCCCGCTGCTGTCCCTGGAAACTCTCAGGGGGAGAGCTGAGGGAGGAAGGAGAGCCAAGGCCGCACAAAGGGTTGCTGTGAACAAGGGAAACAGCTGGCCAGGATAACCTGACAGTGCTCCTGGGCCCTGCCAGCCTCCGGCAGGGAAGAGAAGCTTTCTGAGCCCAAGAACTGGAAGCAGCAATGTGATCCCCGAGGGGTGGGTCCTCTCGGAGGATACCTGGAACAAAGGGGCCTTTAGAATTTTCCTCTGGAGCCTGCTCTGTTCTGTAATCAGTTGCGCTCTTGGTCAACCAGTTCTTAGAGTAGTCAAACCTCTAGCGATTTTGGCTGGGTCGGCACAGGAGAAGTCAGGTGGAAAGTTAAGGTAATTACCCAGGTGAATCGGGGCTTGCAAAAGCAGGAAAATGACTGACTGTGGGGCCTGTCTACAGGGCATGGCTTTTTATAAGCACCAATCGGCCTGGATCTCTCCTTGGCTCTCCATGTCACCAGGCTGTGTGGCCCTGTTATACCATGGCACTCTGAGCTTCGGGCAGCATCTGAAGCAGATGAATATCAGCCAGCCAGCAAGGTTTTATGGAGTCACTATGAGCGAGGCAGCAATTTCCTTTGCTGAGAAGCTGGGACTTTTAACCTGGTTAGGCAAATCAGACCAAATACTCGAAGTCTAGTGAACTGTAAAAGTCCCTGTGCCCTGGATGTAGACAACCCTAATATTGCGGGGCTTACAGGGGAGCACTGACTGCATGGAGTAGGTAGAGAAGACATCTTGCAGGACCAGAGGCTCAAAAGAAAAAAGAGAGGCTAATTCCAATTATGATTCAGAGAGACCAAAGCTAGCTGCTTTTTAACTTCTGGGGATTCTTCTGTTTTCCCCTCTCCCTGAAGAAGCACTGAGATTACAGATGCAGGCAGAATATGGCTCCAGGTTTTACACGGGTTTGGGGGATTTGAAGGCAGGATATGACATCAGGAGTTGAGGGAGATATGTTGTCTGTCTCCCCAGCTCTAAACCTCGAACCCTTTCTGAGCTGAGATTCATTGTTTTCCTCTAACTTGGCAGCTAGCCTGGGGTAGAAAGCTGGGAAGAGCAGAGACCCCGTGTCAAAGCTGAAAGTGGGGATGGATGCATGAGGCAGACCACATGGGTGCTCAGACTCAGAAGCATGAATTTTCACACACACACACACACACACACACACACACACACACACACACATGCATGTATGTCATATACACCAGAAAAAAAGAAAGACAAGAGGGAAAGAGGGAGAGGGAGGGAAGAAGGGAGAGAAGGTGAGAGGGAGGGAGGAAAGAAGAAAGAAAAGAAGGAAGTAAAGTGTTGAAAGTTTAAAAACTCAAGATTGTATCCAATATGGATTCTCAGTGACAGTGGGCATTGGAGTCTCAGTGACAGTGGGGCTTTGGCTACAGTGCTTTGGGTTGACCATATCTCTGAGAAAAAATATATTGAAGTCACAACCCTGATTCATTTAGAAACAGTTGTTGTAGAGATTATCCAGTTATTAGAGTGAGCTCCTATCCAATATGACTGGTGTCTATTGGGCCACGTTGAGGATGGAGACATGCAGGGAGCACGCACTTGGCGGTGTCAGTGAGACACATGAGAGTGCTAAGTTCACAGGTCAACAGCACAGAGGACTTCCAGGAGGAGTCACAGAAAAGTGTAAGGGAAGGAATGTCCCCTACGGGACTCAGAAGGAACATCGTTTTGCTGATGCCTTGATTGTGGACTTGCAGTCTCCAG